ATTATTTTTATATTACTTATCTTTATTAAAAACAGATAGTTACATAAATCAGGTAATAGCATTCATAGGGGTTGAAAAACGTTATTGGTGTCATTTTTAAAGATCCAAGCCCCCAGAGCAGGGGAAGGCTGATGCCAGGATCTCAACAGGCAAGTGATCAGTGAAATGCCTCTGCCAAACTTTGCACCCTGTGCATTTGAGACAGTCATCTCCATTTCCTTCTCCTTAGAGCCTTCTAGTCACTGCAAGACATTATTTGCTGAAATCCTCTTTTTGAGAGCAAGGTGAAGAAAGTATAGGCTGCTGCTCTTGATTTTTCCAGTGAAGATCAGATCCATGCAGTGTGATTTCTCTGCACTGTTACAGTATTTTAATTTTGTAGTAACCTGTGAACTCCTTTAAAGTCCATTGTGGTGTTTGAGAGCTGCTGTCCCAAAAACTGTCATGCAGGCTGTTAATTGAGTCAGCCTTCCCTGCCACCTGTAGCTAGAATGTACCTAAAACTGAATGTTAAAGCTTTGAATTCTTGCTGTTTTTTCTGGATATGTATTGCAAGTTTAACAGCTTTAAGGAATGGTATGAACAGAATATGCAATTAAACATATAACTTCAGAGCTTGAGATGTTATTTCCTTAATTTCACATCAAGTCCCCCACATTTAGTCCCTGTCACTTTTCTTCTGCAAAGCTTTGTGCTCCAGTTATTGTTTTGTAGATTGAGTCTTATGAAAGAAAGCTGATTCAAAGTTGCAGCTGCTTTAAATAGAAGGTGATAAAAATAAAGTCATTTAAAAGGAGAGGGCTGGAGAAGGAATTCTGTTACTAATGTAAACATCATCTCAAAATGCCATGAACTGTGCTGGGTGTTCCCTGATAAGCTGTGATCAAGTGATCATCAAATCCCTTGCCCAGATCCCAGATAAACCCTGTCAAGGTTTGTAATTTGGAGAACAGCTGTAGGTCATAGCCAGTATCCTAGTAAATAGCCTTTTATTGGGGAGCACTGAAACACAGAACTGAAAACTACCTTGGGTCTGAAGTGCTTCTGGGTAAAAGTACATCCAATCTTTTATAAATTTTAGACATTAAGGAGGGATTCATTTGTTGTCCTTTAGTGCACAGACACATCCATGTATGCTGACAGTTCTCTTGAGCTCAGACTGTGTGCTTATCTTGCCATCAGGTCTCTTGACTGTTCAACAGTAATACTCATGTTACAAAAAAGCTAAATGTGTCTGTTTGCTGACTTCCTCTTCAGGGTATCTTTGAATCGCTTCTTTCTCCAAGTGTTTGGTTCACTTCTGGCTCTGTAGCAGTAACGTAGGTGCACAGAGTTGCACATTAGTGTGTTTCCTTTGATTAAGGTGGCTGAAGAGCAGGAACGTGAGAATAATGGATGTCTTACTGATACTTTCTAATCTTAAATTTGGTGAGCCACATGCACAGAGTAGTTACCAATGGTGCATCCTCTTTGTATGAGCCATGCTCCTACCTACAAAAATGTTATGCAAGATGGCATTAAAAGCTCTACTCACTTTATAACATGATCACATCCTCTGTGTTTTTCTATATGAGGCCTGTTAATTGTTCTCAGAAGGAATTTCTGGCTGATGTGAGCTTTTGAAAGGCCATCTGCATCTGCTTGCTGCTGTCTAGGTAATAATAAATAGGTGCTTCTGCTTTGCTTTGGTTTTCCTCGGAGGTATTGAGCAGAGATTGTCTGACCTGTTGTTTTTGTCTTCTTCAAAGACAGCCTTTTGAATCTTCTGGGTCATTCCTGTTCTCAAACGTAATGAAAATAAGTCAGTGATATTGATAGAGAACTATCCGAGGTGGTCCAGTATGATTGTTTTATTTCGCTGCCTTGGAGGAAAGAAGTGATATTTTTCATGTGTTGTTCTTGCACTCAGTTGCTGAGGTTGGTCAGCAGCCTGCAGATTGAAACTTGTTTGTGAACAACGTTACTATTCCTTTTAGAGGCAGAAGCTGGGAAAAAGGCATCTGTGCAGCAGCCTCTGTGTGTCAGGCTGATACCCTGCTCTTCCAAAGCCAGTATCATTATTTAAACTAAAAGGCATTTATCTGTATACGTGACGATTTGCCAGCTCTGATGGGCATGGTTTCTAGCAAACAGAACTCCTGAGGATAACATTTGTATTTGGCATATCATCCTGATGAATGGCAGTGGGAGGATACACTTCCAAATATGAGGTGATACTTGGGATGTGGTTTAGACTTCCCTTTTAAAGGGACAACTTACCTTTCAGGCATTCAGAGAATTGAATAAGTTCTCATCCTTTAAAATTAGATAAAATATCTGTTGCATGAAAACTGTTGTTAGAAACTATAACATGGAAGTAAGCTGTGAATATTGGTGTTCATGAGCTTTTAAAGAAAATAAATTCAGTATGTGTTGTAGGATTTGTATAGAGACTTGGAGGCCTCTTTGGCCCCTGGAGATGCAGTTTGAATGTTCAAGCGTGCTAGGCTAGTTGTCTTTTGTAGTTTGGGACTGGAATCAAGCCCCTCTACCCTTGGGGATACCTGTTCTGTCTCAGCAGAGACAGAGAAGTGCTGGGGTACCTCCTGTGGAAGGGGAGGTGGGTGCTCATCTCTGGACCAGCATCAGGGACATCCCTTTCCTGGCTGGCTCTTGGCTCCACTGCCACTCTGTCAAGGACTGAGACTGAGCCTTGACCTCAGGCCTGGCCATTGCCAGGGAGGAGACCTGGACAATCTGCTCTTGTGCTCCAGGCTGTCCCTGCATTCAGTGTCAGCAGGAGTTGTGTGCTGTGACCCAGCAGCAGCAGGCTGGGTTGTGCTGCTCCTGTCAGCCGTGTCCTCAATTGTCTCTGCAAACTGAAAGGTCTTTTTAGGCATTCTCTAGCCTTTTACTGTTTGTTGTGGTTAAAAGTAGATGCCTCAACAATCTGAAACTCAGTTGTGTTAGTTCAGACCTGCAAGTGAGGTATCATTTATGCTCTGTGGGTTTGCTTTTCCTGTTCAGGTACACACACTCTCATTAATATGTTGTTAAAATATAGCTGTGGAGTAGAAAAGATTCTCTTAATTGTCTGAAGTAATGCAAAAGCAATTTCAATAGCAGGGGATACAAATAAGAATCTAACAAGAAAAACTTTTCTGTATCTTTTCAGATGCTTGCTTAAGAACAGTACAAAAATATAGAGTATGAAGGGTATCAGTATACAAATAGACCATACGTGCCGTGTCGTTATAAACCACTTTTTATACCTAACCATAGCAACAGGGCTTTATATGCTGCAAGTAAATTTGTCTTGGAAGTTAAATGACTTTCTATTTACAGTCACTTTCTGAGGAAGAGACTCTACATACTCCTGACAGGCAGCTGCATTAGAGAGAAGAGCCTGGGCCTGGGCCTTCCCCTCAGCAAAGGAATGCTCTCTTGATCCACAGATGGCAATTGCTTTCCCTGTGTTAAGTCCTTCTATCACACAAATGTCCTTTAGCTATTGTGTTGCTCTTCCTATAATTAGTTGTATTTAGTTGTCACTCAAGTGTGCAGTGGTTCCTAGGAAAATGTGAGTAGTACCAGCATAAGAGCATGGTATTTATCAGCTTGGATAAAGCAACTTCTGTAACAGGTTTTAAGCTAAATTCCAGGCTCAGGTGGATTTTTTTTTTTTTTTGAAGGGTACAGTGGTGAAGGTGGGAAAAGGAGTGACAGACACTTAAAACTCAGACACTTCCTGATCATTGCTGATGCACAAATACCATTATCCTTGCAATGTTTTTAGTGTACACCTGCCATGGGAATCCAATTACTTCTGATAGTGTTTTGTTATGGTGCTGCTTCTGTGATTTATTTTTTTTCTAAATTTCTTTTGTTCTGTTATTTTAACTATACGGTGATTGTACTTAAATTGAAATAATTAAGTAACTTGAAGACAAGTTTTAAGTATTCTTGCCATAAACTTAGGGAAGAGATGGGTACCTGTGCTTCTAATGTTGATATAAACTTTTGGTTTAAAAACTGGCTCTGAAAGGAATTTGAGCTCATACTTACTTTTCTGAAGATTTTTCAGCAATGCTGTTGCATTCTTCTCTAGGGCTGAATAGCTGTACCCACACGAGGATGAGCTGTTTGAGGAAGGGAGTTTTAAGCTTGAGTACAATGCTCTGCTGCAGCCCTTGGCAGCAGAGCTTTGACTGTGCTTCATCCAGTGTCTTGTTTACAACAAGCGTTCAGATGAGATTTTGGAGAACTAAGATGTTGCAGTAACGCTCTTGGTGTAGGTGCCACGTGTGGGGTGGATGTGGGGCTGCCCCGGGGCCTTGGCGGGCGAGGTGGCTTCGTGTGCGGTGCTCAGCAGGGTGATGGAGCTGTGGGAGAGCTCCGTGGGAGTGCTTGGCCAAGGGCCTCCACCAGCCCTGTTGCACCTCGGGAAGGGGAGGTGGGAAGGTGACTGACAGCTGTGAAAGGGTGAGTGATAGTTTACCTTCCACTTTTCATTTCTGACCGCTCTGGTTGTCAGTTGTAACTTGATCTGTCATAGCTCGAATGTTGCATATTGAGCTCCCACTTCCAGGTGCCCTTACAGGACTCATCTGTTTTGAGTATAAAGCAGGGGGTTAAGCTGGATGGAAACACTGGGTACTGTGTGCAGAGACAGTTTGGGACATAGCAAAAATGTGAAGGGTGTCTTTTGGATTTAGGTATGTTTGGCATTAGGGTGGTGCACAGCTTATACCTATGCAGGATTGCCAGCAGGACAGGAGACATTTCATTAATGGCCTTACAGTCATCTTTGTACAGGAGCAGCTTGAAATAGCCTGAGAGAATTACTATTTTTTTTTTGGATCTGTATGTCCTTAATGCAAACCCATAGAAACAGTAGGGCCTTTCAGGCGTTAGTTTAACCTAACAAGGTAATTCACTTTGCAATGCAGGTTGAATTAGGAGACTTGGTATTTTTATTACATACCCATTTTCAATGTCTGTCTGATTCTTGGATCTCATAGGAATCCGTCAACTGCATTCTACCAAGCGTTCCATTTCAACAAGTTACACGAGCCAAAGGCCTCCTGGGATAGGTATGGATGCTTGAGTATGGAATGCATACGTGCTGAGTATGCATGAACTGCTTCGCTCCATGCAAGTTCCTCGTGGTTTGTGTTTGCACAGAACTGCTGCTTGTGTTCAAAACTTCACCTTGGGCTTCTGCGGCTTGAAGAGGCGAGAGCAGTCGTGGAAGTGGAGTGTTTGTTCTGAAACACGCAGCTAAATAACTCTAAAATACGACATGACTTTTTTTCTTCCTCCTTCCATTATGCATGTATCATGCATGATGTGTAAGCTCAGTTTAATGCTAGTCAGCTCCTAGCTGACCTTCACCAAAATGTTTACAGCTTCCTTTTCCAAAAAAGGAAACTTTTTGGCATTAAGTCCTGTATCAGAAATCAAGTTGTGAAAATATTACATTTAAACACAATTTTGTCAAAACTAAGATACTTCTATCTTAAAACCAGGAAAGGAAGCTTTCTGGCTTACTTTCATTTTGCTGAAGTAAAGCTGGATGGGGGACACAGGTGAACTGTGACAAGGATGAAGTAAATCTCCAAAGTTAGCATTGAACTGATGGTGAGAAACTGCAGTGAAGTGCAACAGAGTCTTATCTGACGTGGATGGGACTTGCAGAGGTGCATTACTAATTTGTCAGTAGCTGCAAACTGTTTCTTTCCTGCACTTTATTGATTTTGAAGGAGTTTTTTTGTTAGCATTAAGTTGAAGTCCTAGTGACTTCATGCCTTGTGATGCTCTGGCTTGTCACAAACTTCTGCTTAACAAGCTGTGTAGAATGTAAAATTTTGTTTGGCTGTTGAAGTATTGATAACCATTTCATCACTGTACTGGCTGTATTTGACTTGAGAGGCTTCTCAACGTGCACAGCTTAACTGAATCCTTTCATAGTTTGCTTGGCAACAGTTTGTATACTGCACAATGCTGAAGGTTATAAGTAATGCTGATGTATCCTGCTCTTTTTAAAATCGTTTTATAGTGCTGGGGTGCTGGCATTAAGCTCAGTTTCAAAGCATGTCTTCCTTTTCCAGCAGAAACTTGGACAAATCTATGTTTTTGCTATAAGCTCTGGATGATGCCACTTTTCTGTATTTATGGGACAGAGTTGGTATTTAGGTTTCAAGGACTTTGTTATTTCACTGAAATAAACTTCAGGGCTTAGAATACACGTTTGGTTTGTAGACCAAAAGCTCGCTTTGTGGTCTAGCGTTTAGCTGTTTCTCTATTTTCATATCTCAAAATAAGTCTTAAGATGAGGAAGCTGATTCAAAAAATCCTAAAATCAAATAGTGAATAAGATTGAGGCTTCACAAATCGAGGTTTGTGTATGGTGCCTGAAGCAAGTGCTGGAAGTGTGGGATATAGAAAAACATCAAATTCACGTAGAAGAATGTAAATGGCTGCCTTTAAAATAGTATTGCATCTTTGCTGGTGAACATTTTGTGGTAAAAATAAGTATTTGTGAGAACATAGAATCAAATTCATCAGGATTGATGCAAGTTTTAAATTTATAATCTGTTCAAATTCCGAAGTCTTTGACAGGGTTTAGCAGGTTTTGCATTTATACCCCAGTTAATGGATTTTAAGGTCATGTTAGGCAGCTTTGCTCTGCTGGATGACTGAAACTGAGAAGTTTTCAACTATAAACTTGTGGTAGAAGCTGGTGGAGGGCGTGCTGAGGGCATCCATGAGCAGTGCCCGTGGTTGTGGGTGGGTGAGCTCGGCATGGGTGGGATGGCCCCGGGCACGGGGGAGTCTGTGCTCACTCTGGGAGCTGGGTAACAGTAACGTGGTTTGGGGCTTTCTTTTTGGGTTCTCTGGTTTGAGAAGGAAAAATCTCTGCCGTGAAAACAATAAGCTTGTGTGATTTCCTCATAATCCCTTTGTTTGCCCACCCTAAGTTGTGGGGGTTGACACACTGCGGAGCACCAGGACCGTGAGCCTGCTGGCACTGGACTCTCATTGCACTTTGCAGCTCCTTCAGAAGTAGTTTGTGAACCTCAGGGGCTTGAGTTAGGAGGCTTCGGTGTAAACAGAAAATCTTCCTGTGTAATTCCAGTGTTTTTTTCCTAACAAATATGGATTATTCTCCTATGAGCAGCCATCTCTCGGGACCAGCTGAAGCCAGCAGAGCTACTACATGCTACTGCAGTCGAGAGCAAGAGAGTGCTGAATTGCTGCAGTGAATAGAGATGGGTTTGTTTTTCACCAACACGCCATGGCAGGGAGAGTTCTGGTGGCCCTGAAATCAGTAAGTGTTAGGGAGATGCTGGTTGTTACTGACACATTGGCAGGAATGTTTTCCTGCACAGTGCTCACGTAGGTGTTGCTAAGGGCTCAAGTCTCATGGGTTGGTCTTCTCAACTGATGTGGTTTGGGAAGGGGAATAGTGGCTGCTTAACATCTTCACATGAGTCTGGGTCACTCTTCTGGGCCTGGGTTGTCTTTGCACAGTAATAGTGCCATAGCAGCTTTAGTGGGTCTGCCTAAAATACAGCCCTTATCAGTAAACTTGAATTTAAAGCAGTAGGATTTATGTTTCTGTTGCATTTGTGTGTGAAACATTAAACCTTCACAATATAAATTAACTCATAAAATGTGTGTGGAAACTCCTGAGGTGGCGAATTCACTGCCTTAGACTGTCACACATTCTCACACGACTTTGACAAAGAAAAATAGTGAAAATCTACAATACTCACACAGATACTCTTTCCAGGCTGGATATGTGATTGCATTGGGATGCTGGCATTGTAGAGTCTATTAATGGGATGGAGGCTAATTAAACATGCCTTAACTGTTTCAAGAACAGAAAAGATTTCTTTGGGTGGACTGAGTAGCCCAACCAGTGGTAGGACATGAAGAGTGGCTGGTTCAGTGGCTGCAGTGGCTCATAAATGAGTAAACAATGAGGGGAAAGGAAAAATGAGCACTCGGCTTTAGTTTGTAGCTCACTTGCAAGCAAAAAGAGTTGGAACTTTTTGAGGTACCTTGTCATTGCTTACAGAAAGGTAGTTTGATAATTTGATTGAAAGCAGTAACAGCGAATGAGAAGAGCTGGGAGCAGTTCCTTGGCTTGGGGATATCCATCAGACATCCCCAAGGTGTGTAACACCTTTCCCACTGTAACCTAAACCAAAGCACATCTGGTGCTTCAGAGGAATTGTCTTACAGAGGCTATTGGACAGAGCATCAGTGTCCCTCTGTGCTCTCCTCTGCAGGATCAGCTGGAAAATGTGATAGGTTTTATGTATCTAGAGGGCAAGAAAACTCCTGTATTCTGTGAGTCTTTTGGGGGGTGACTTAGTGCTAAGAAATTCCTTGGGGCAGTAGTATGCAGATAATCATTAATACAGCTGAGTATGGAATATGGCTTTTGTTATTGACTGAAAGCTTCAGAATTAGTTTACATCATCCAGACTGTAGGATTTCAATCTCATTTAAATGTGAAATGCTGTTACCTAGTCTAGTCTGTCGACCTAGTTTGTTGACCACCCTTACAAAATGTCCATAAATTGTCTACAAATGTCTGTTGTGATCGTTTAGTCTGACTTTGGGCTCCCACGGTGGTCACTCGGGACAGGAGAGGTGGTGTGGTGGGTCCTGCAGCTTTCCTCATCGTGGTCTTCACCACAGACTGCTGGGGAATCTCACATTCTCCCCTGCCTCCAGCATGAGATCCTTCCCATGGGCTGCAGTTCTTCATGAGCTGCTCCAACGTGGGTCCCTTCTGGAGGGTCAGTCCTTCAGGAACTCCAGTGTGGGTTCTGTGGGGTCGCAGGTCCTACCAGCAAACTTGCTCCAGCCTGAGCTCCTTTCTCCAGGGGGCACAGGTCCCGTTAGGAGCCTGTTCCAACATGGACTTCCCGTGGGGTCATGGCCTCCTTTGGGCACCCACCTGCTCTGGCAGTGGGCTCCTCCACAGGCTGCAGGTGAGTCTCTGCTCCCCTGTGCACTCATCAGGTCACAGTCCCTTGGACTGGAGCTCCAGCCTGCCCAGCGTGACAGCGCTGCCCTGGGCACCTGCCAGGACAGGCACGTGGCCGCGGCCGTTATCGAGCGCTCCCAGCACGGCAGGGAGGTGATAAGAGCAGTGTGGCAGCAGCCAGAGCGAAACGTGGCCACTCACGGGCAACGGCCTCTGCCACGGGGGAGAGAGCCCATGGCGAGCACGGGGCGGCCAGGCTGGAGCAGCTGCTGCTGTCCATTCAATCTAGCACATCCCAGGCAAATCTGTCCTTATCTTGAAACCTTCCAGCCCCACACTTGGTGCCAAAAAGGGCTGTTGTGGTTTAACCCCGGCATCTGAGCCCCACAAAGCTGCTCACTCAACCTCCCGCCAGAACAGGAAGAGTGAGAGAACTCATGGGGTGAGATAAAGAAAATTTAATAGGTAAAGCAAGCACCACATATTTTTTTTTAAACCATCAAAATGAGAATTTCTCAGACTAAATAGGCTTTTGGCTACCTGGTGTGTAATGTAGAAAAGTGTTGGGTTTACTATCCATCTCTACAATGACAAACTGTACTTGGGGGTCTTGGATGGTTTTGCTGACTGTAAATCTTGCCTTGTACTTAGTGGGCTTCAACAGGAACTTGATTTACCAATATAATGTCTTTTTGGGCAGAGCCTTCATTGGCATGTCCTTAACTCAGAGGTCTAAGTCGAACCAAACTGTTCCCTGGAATTACAGTGTGTCTGTTCAGTTCCTGCTTGGCTGCAGAAGCTCAATGTGGGGTGGGGGGTTTGCAGTTACAAAAAAAATATTACATACCTAATGTACCTCTTAATCTGTTCTGTGTTACTTAATGTGGATTTTTTTCAGCTTTGACAATAATTGTCAGACTTCTGTAGCTCCTGGAGCAATCAGTAATTGGTCTTTTTGTAATAGCTAAATGGGGTCTTTCCACTTCTAACTCCAGGGTTTGCAAGTCAGAGCATCGGCTCTGCAGTGGATGGTGCACTCACAGAACGTGTCACTCCAGTCACTTATCCAGAAAGACTTATTTAACAGATACTTCGGTTTTTTCCTGGCCTTTTCATAAGGACTAGATTGTATCTATAAATTTCATTCTGAAGCTATGAGATAAAATACTTTATGCAAACAGTGATTTAATATCAAAAGCTCAGGATTTGTGAAAAGTACAAAATCTTAAGATTTAGCATTATATTTGGAGTGTCCAAATATATTTGGAGTGTCCAGCTGGCTCTGGAGGGCTCTGCTGCTCAACATCTCACAGGAGCTGAGTGGGGAGCACTGTAAAATGAATAAAGGACAGAATCTTGTAGCAGATGTGCTAGCCTAAAATCTAATTCTCATCTGCTTGTAGAAAGTGACCTGGAACACGTCAGGTGATTTTCCCCTGATGGTGGACTGGGCACTGCTCCGTCAGCATGGGGCTTCTCCTGGGTGAGGGGGTGGGGGTCTCTGCCTGCTGGAGTCAGGATGGGTGCAGGGAGTAGGGCTGGAATCCAAACTCAGCACTTCAATCTTAGTGCAGATTCTCCAGGGATAAGGGCAGCAAGAACTCTGACATGAGTAACAGTAGTGTATGAGCTGCTTAGGGCTTTCAGCACTGTTGGTGTCACTCTAAGTGTGGGATATGGGTGGAAGAGCAATGGTTTCTCAGGCTCATTCCAGTCACAGTGTGGGGAGGGACAGTTTTTACACCCACATGGTGAGCACTGCACCCATCTAACAGGCAGAGGGGAGCTGGGGCACGAGGTACAGCATAGGAGAGGTGCCTCTGCAGTGTGCCACAGGTGTTCCAGGAGACTGAGGGAAGGCTGCTGGTCTTTCTCATGGAGCTGCTCGAATGCCTTAACTCGGAGCGGTGCAATAGACTTTGTTCTTCCATCCCTTTCAACTATTTTGCAGTGTAATTATTAAAAAAATAAAGTCCCAGTCTCAAGTTTAACTAGACAGGTATTGACAGAAGGTGTGTGATGGTGCTGCAAAGATGGAGCAGCAGATACCACTGCCATGTGTGGTGTTTACTTTAATTTTCCTCTTGTCACCTCTTCAGAGCTGCTTCACCTGACCTGTAGAGTGGTGTCCATGAAAGGCTGTTGGGGATTTCGTGGTTCTTGAACACAGACACTTCTGATGCTGCTAGATGAGTTCGAAGCATGTTAATTTAAGATGGAAGGGGATACTTCCCTCAGCACAGGTTATAAATACTTCTTATTCTGAGGAGGTTTACCACAGATAGGGCTTGAAAGAGGCTTAGAAAACAATAAGAGACTGGAAAAATTTTCTTGTGAAATGGGAGTTCAGCACTTTTGGTTTGGGTTACAAGCTTGATTCAGTGTAGAAATAGAGGCTGTTACTCCCCCAGTTTGCAAAGCTGATTCCCTCTGCTCCTGTGTGCTCAGTGCTGGTACTGACAGTTCTGTGGGACCTGTTAAAATGAGCTTTTCTGACCAATGTCGTTCTTCAGAACTGAGCCTTGTTTCACTGTGACAATGTGCTCAGCAGTATTGGCCATACTTGTAAAAAGCCTGGGTTTCGGTGGGTGTTGTGTAATTCCAGAGGCAGGTTTCCCAGCGGGACTGCAAGCCTTGCATTTTCCCCATGTTAACTCTTTTAAACGTGGCTGTGTGTTGCTGATAGCCACAGCCCTGGCTGGGACCCTTATCAGCAGCTCTCACTGGTGGGGCTGTCACAGGAACCGCCGTCCTGGGTCAGACCAGAGCTGGTGAGGAAATGGGACCCCTGGGACCGGGATGGGAGGGCGACACAGAGGGGGTGTACCCTGCCTACCCTGGGAGATCTACAGCTCCTCTCCAAACAGAGGGAGAGCAGGGACACCCCTGGCCACCAGAACCCCGACTCCAGAGCTGCACGTGAGGGACTGGCTCGTGTGCCTGTGGTGTGACCTGGAAACAGACCCCAGACATTCGGGCCTGGATTGCTGCCCCCCGGGCTTCAGAGCTGCAGTTCAGGATCCTGTCAGGACAGTAAATGCACATCCTCACAGTGTGATGTGCTGTTGGATGTGCTGCACTGGTGTGCCTCTGGAACAGGCCTGGCCCTGACTGTGACCTGTGTGTTTGTCAGCTGTCAGATGAGATCCATGGGGAATTTCTGGTGCTCCCGGGGTCAGGGCTCCAGTCGTGTCTCACCTTCCCGCTGCCATGGGCTGCACAGGCAGGGCTGAGCCAGGAACTTCTTACCTGGTAGGTTGACTTTGAATGAAACCAGAGAACAACCATTATAACAGGGTTTTTTCTTCATTGCTTTATAAAAAGAGTTTGTCAGGAATAACATAGAGGTAAGGATCCCAGGAATATCTGTGAATCCCCATTTTCCCCAGTAAAGAAAGCTGGAAAATGAGGCCAGGAATCAAAGCAGTTGATTTAGTTAGTTTAGTGTTTATTCTAATGCATTTTTGTGGTTGTGGGTGTCATAAGCACAGTCTGAGGAGGTATAAACTGAAGGAGCAGCATCTCTTAAGAGCTCCAGCTGTACTGGACAGCTGGGGGGGGACATGGGACACTCCTGTGACTGTGCACTGAATTCTTGACTCTGAGCTTCGGCCTTCCAGTAACAGCATCTTTCAGGAGTCCTGCAGGTGCGTGGATTTACCTGAGTGATACAGTAAATCTCACAGTTTTCTCCTTGTATTTACAGTGCATCTGGTGCGAGTGTTGTTGCCATTGACAACAAAATAGAACAGGCAATGGTAAGTAAAATATAAGTTGTTGTTTCTAATAGGATTAATGTGGTTCATCACTGAGCCTGTTTCCAGCTGTGTTGTGTTTCTGTGACCCTCCACATGGGTCAGACTGAGACCATCATTTGAAAAATGGATTTTCTGTATATCTGTGAACGACCACAAACCATGATTGCCTTTACTGTTGGCCCAGAAATGTTAGTCAGTGAATTTTCTTACAAATTGCTGTCAACAAGCTGATTGAACTTAAAGGGGTGATGAAAATAAATACTGCATTTCAGTCTGTTGCTTTAGCCAAGTTCATCACTAGTTTTCAGTTCATTACTAGAAGAGTAAAGTGTGCCATCCTTAACATACTGCTCAGCTTCCCTTACAGCTGTTGGATTTTTGCTACTGCTGATATAAAAGCTTTCTTATATCTTGGTTCTCACACACCTCAGTGCAGGGCCTGTATGCTGCAAACCCTGACCCCCAGGTCACAGCTTCAGAGCTGGTGCTTTCCTTCTGGGGAGCTGGGATGCAGCTTTTGATGTCAGGGCCACTTCAAGGGAACAAAAGGGCTGGGTTGTTTGTGCTTGAAGGCTGATTTATTCATATATTTTTTAGTGAGAGTGCTTTGGTTTTCCAGGCTTACTGCAGTGAAAGCAGTAACAGTAAATTCTGGGGCTGGGGTGAAGGAAAGTATTCTTTCCATTGGTGTAACTGTCCACTTGTTCTCTGCAGGATCTAGTGAAAAGCCATTTGATGTATGCAGTGAGAGAAGAAGTGGAAGTCCTGAAGGAACAAATAAAGGAATTAGTCGAAAGAAACTCTTTACTTGAACGAGAAAACGCACTGTTGAAATCGCTGTCCAACAACGATCAGCTGTCCCAGCTCTCCAGCCAGCAGGGCCCCCCCAGCAGCAGCTCCTCGGCGCAGCCCCCGCCGCCCGCGCAGCCGCCGCAGCCCAACGTGTCCTCGGCGTGAGCCGAGAGCCGCCGCTTCTGTCTGTGTTTGGCCTTTGCAGTATTAGACAATCACCTCCCGGCGCCGCCCGCGGGCCCTGCCTGTGCAGAGGTTGCAGGGGCAGTCCCTGAGCCCGGATCCTCAGGGATGCGGGAGGGAGGGAGGGCTGTCAGAGCTTGGGTGGCTCTCCGAGGTTCCCATCGCCCCTGGGTTGCTTTGAGCCTTGCTGTCTGGTAAGGAGCAACAATTCCTCTTCAGAGCCACTGTTCTTTTCATATAAGTAACATTTGCCTACGTTAGTTTCATTTATTTGTTTTATTTATTACAGGGCTGCTATTTTCATAATGTACATGAACAATGTCACAGAACTTTTTAAATTTTTTTTTAATAAATGTCTGTATGGGTAAAATGGTAGATGGGATTGCGTTAATAGATACAATGTCTAGGCAATAATTGAACAAAGAACCCTGGCATATTTCTAACACTAATGGCAATTGACCTTTGGTATTTATTTACGGTAGTAAAGATCCAGCTTGAATGTAAATTTTGTATAGAGTGTAAGTATGAAGACCATAGTGCATCTGTACAGGTAGTCACCAGTCCTTGTGATATAATAAATAAGTGATGGGCTATTTTGATGAAGAAAACTTTGCTCATTTCTGTTTCTACTTTCTAATAGAGAGAAAGGGCCACGATTCCTCTGCTTTTTGACATTTCGTTTTTGGTTTGTTTTTTGGGTGGGAATAAAAAGCTGTGAAATTGTTCAACCTACTTTGTAACCAAAGAAGCAAAACTGTGTAATTGAGGTTTGGTGTTTTGTTTTTTTTTTATTTTTATTTTATAATGCACATTCTCTATGTATTTTTATTTAGTGTTTTCTCATTCACGACTTTCTTTGCTGTCTCGCATGATCTGCATGACCTGTAATCTTTGAACCACTTTCGTACCTCATGTTTTTATCCAGCACTCTTAGTGTAATATGTACTAGTCTGTGAACAATGTCAATAAAGAGAAAGAACAGCTGGTGTTGGTGGAGCTGAGCTAGTGTGCTAGGCACTAGTTGTTAAAACAAATAAATGAAGTGAGCCATCTTTTGTTCATTTAAAATGGTGTTTTGAATTTCGTATGCAGAAAACGTTTTGTTACATTGCAGATTTTAATGTATTTAATAAATGCAACATGCAGATTAAGTGCAGTGTATACTGAGTATTTAAATTAAAAATGTACATTTCATAAATACAATTTCAAGGAAGACCATCATTTGTGTAAACTAACGCAGTGTGTCAAATTGATGTACAAATATATATATATTTTAACACATTTTCTGAAATTAAACTGCAGTTTTGTTGAAGTTTTTGGCTGTAGATGTTGTTGCAATGTAACTAAATTCAGTAGCACTTTTTTCTGAAGAAAATGGAGAAACTGTCTTTCTGATGTTGCCTAACAGACCAGTGCCAGGGTTACCACTGCTTCTTTTGCAACAGACTGGTGCCTTCTCTTCAAGGAGAAGCATCATCTGATGCTGTCAGTGGCCCTCTTGGGTTTGCAGTGATGCTGTAAATTAGCACCTGGGCCTGCTGGTTCACTGCTGTGAACCTCTGCTTCAGTACCTGAGCCTTGTGTGTGTCTAACTCTGCTCAGGTTTATGTCTGAGGTAAAACAGGAGCAACACTGGAAACTGCAAGTTTTCGTGCCTTCAGATCTTAGAGAAACATCTGTGTCCTGGAAACAGCTCTGCCTGCCCTTCCCGGTGAGGATCAGCTCAGCGTGTGTGTATTAAAAAGTTCTTGCTGAAGTAACACCAAAACGATCTTCCCGGCAGGTGTGGGTGGCTGCTCTTTGCCTGCTGGGAGCACTTCTGGGAGTCCTTGGTGCAACGAGAGCCTCGCTCACAGAGTAGAAACCAAAGTATTGCAGGAGCTCCGTGTGTTCCCCCTCCAGTGCCATCAGTGGCTCGCTCCGGCTGCACCGCGAGGAGGATGCTGTTAAAGTAAGTAAAAAGGGACAATTTTGGGGACTTCTCGGAACAGGAGTCCCTCAGGTAAGTAGTTGATTAAAACTTTTATGGAGGGAACGCTGTACCTGTCCATTTTTTGAGCGAAACAGAACAGAGATGTTCGAACCGTGGTTCTCTGAGGTGGTCAGAGATCCGCTGCCGGGAGCAGAGGGGCACCGAGCCTGTGAGGATGGTCCCCAGCACCCCAACCCTCCTGGAACTGTGCAGGGCCCGCGCTCTGCCCCCCGGGTGAGGGTGTGGGGCTGTGCCGAGAGCGAGGGGCACGCACACCCCTCAGAGGGGCTGCGGAGGCGCTTGATCCAAGAGAAACCCTTTAGTAAATCTGCAGGAAATAGAGTTGAAGCAAAGGTTGAACTCACGCTGTTGGAAAACCTTCGTTTGCTTTGCTCCGCTCCTGTAGGTTTGGTGAGCACAGACCGGCCCTTCCGCAGCTCCCGCGCGGGGCCGCGGGACGGCGCTGTGGGACTGGGGCTGGGGCTGTGCTGTGTGTGGGGCGGGGCTGTGGGGCTGTGGGGCTGTGCTGTGTGTGGGACTGTGGGACGGTGCTGTGTGTGGGGCGGAGCTGTGTGTGGGGCGGTGCTGTGGGGCTCTGGGGCGGAGCTGTGTATGGGGCGGAGCTGTGTGTGGGGCGGAGCTGTGTGTGGGGCGGAGCTGTGTGTGGGGCGGAGCTGTGTGTGGGGCGGAGCTGTGTGTGGGGCGGTGCTATGGGGCTGTGGGGCGGGGCCGGGCGGCCATGGTGTGCCGGGGCTGTGGGGCCGCGCTGTCGCGCTCGTTCCCGGGTGTCCCTGTGCGAGCCGCCGGTCCCGCCGCCCCCCGGGCCGGTTCCGTCGCTCCGCGGCCCCGCTGTCCCGTGTCGCAGCCCGGGGGCTGAGGGGCCGCGCCCGGGGCTGTGCGGCCCGCGCACGGCTGTGCTCGGACAGCGCCCGGCCCCGGTGGCCGCCGGGTCCCCCCGTGCCCCGTGTTCGCAGCCGGGCGGGTCTCGGGGCCGATGTCGCTCACAGGGGCGGCTCTGTCGGGGACGTTGTTCCAAAGGGCCCGGTGTTTCCTTGGAGCGGGGAAGGAGCCCTGTCCCAGCCGTGACACCGGGCACAGAGCAGACGCGGGGCCTGGCAGGGGCGCAGGGGAGGCAAACCATGTGCCAGCCCTGATGTGATACTGAAGCGGAGTCGTGCAGCCAGCCCCAAGAAGGCTTCACAGGAAAACAAAGGCAAGATTTGAGGTAACAGTGAGTTGCGGGTGGTTAATGACATCACCTCAGCCAGCTCAGCTCTGCCGAAGAACCTGCCCGTGTCTGCAAACGCAGCCCCGCGTCACACGTCCCCTAGCGCTGGCAACACCTCAGCTGCCAGCGCCTGCAAACTGGCGTCTCACCGGGGCAAATAAACCTGGGCGTTGCTCTCTCACGTTTCTGAGAAGAAACAAGCGTGGTGCTTTGCAGCATTTGTACTTGGGCATATGGAGCCAGAGCCCAGCTGGGGCCAGGAGGCCTCTCTGGAGAGCCCCCAGTGCAGCTCCTGCTCCAGCCTGTGGCTGCCCAGGGCCAAGAGCCACTGCAGGGCACAGCACCGCACACCCCTGCGTCTGGTGCTGGCACCGAAGCAAGACTTCTACTGAGCCTTGAAGAACGAATCTGTACAAACCATCCTGAACATTCCAGTCCCCAAGGCCCTCGAACAGTTCCTGCAGTGGCAGCAGGAACCTGTCAGACCCGAGGCCTCTGTGGCATTCCCAGGGGCCAGAGAGACGAGTGGGGAGCAGCCACCTGCTGAACCCCTGTAGGGAGATGGGGAGCAGCACCCGGGTGAGTCCAGAGCCCCCACGGCCCCAGACCGGACAGCAGAGCAGGGAGTGCCCCATGGCACGGGGGCTCCTCTTGGGGAACACCCAATTAACCTGTGCTTGGCATGAAACAGCTGAATTTCAACACCCAGCACAGTCCCACTTTGCCAACCTCAAGAGAACACAACTTGCATTTGGAAAGAACTTTATTTAAAATCAGCGATTATACAGACTTCCCCCGCTCACAGCACACGAGTGCCCTGGCCCAAGGTCCCCGTCCCCCGGTGGCCAGGCTGGGCACACCCATGGCTGTGCTGGCTTACACCAGTCCCCATGATTCCATATGGGAATACACGAGTACAAAAGATCTGCTCCTTCACAGCTAACAGGCATTTCATTAACCTTGACAGATTTGTTTTCTATTACTTCTAGCATAATCAAACTTTGAATTTGTCTTCTGCTAAGAAACCTGGAAAAAGGAAACTTCCTTTAGCAACTGCGTGCACCAGCAGAGCGATTCACACCCCCTTTGTCACCACAGAGACAGCAGGAGTTGGGGCCATCAGCAGGGAAATATGATCAATAGCAGCATTTTCCATGTGACCTCAAGTTACAGTTGTCTACAGAAGAAGGAACTGTGATCATCCATAGGGAAGCAGTTAAGTACTGGATCCATTGTTAGAAGAAATCGAGTTGAAAGCAGGTTTTACCTTAAATAGGATTAAATATATATTGCAAGACACACCACACTCCGCAGGGGCTGCACATAGAAGCAGAACTGTGGGCAGGGGGGCAGGGTCCCCCCACCTGCACCAAACATTCCCACACAACATCGTCAAATTTAAAACTATCACCACTGGTTGAAAGTTGTCCAAGGAGTATTTACAGCGCAGGCACAGCCGGGAGAGGCCCTGGGAGCTCCACAGTCCGTGACGCTCCAGCGCCGAGTCCCGTCGGGAGCAGGTGCCGCCCGGCCACGCCAGTCCCTTGGGAACCCCGGTGCCCCTACACAGACAAGCGCTTGGCGTGGGTTAGGGCAAAGCTACAGGAGGTGCAGCTGCGAGGACGGCACTGCCACATGCTGCAGTGGGGCCTCCCTGCGCACACGGGCGACGCACGGTGGGGCTCCTCGGGAACATGCTGCACAGTCAGGCTCCAGCCACTGCAAAAATCCCGGCTTCCAGCGTCAAATGAAACCATTTCCAGCTATACAGAGGGTGACACCGGTCTGGGACCGGTGTTTACAAGATGCCAGTTCCTATGGACCTATGTCGCGTTACAGCTCCGTGTGTGAGAGACCAGGCTGGATCTTCAGCGAATAAGTAGGTCCACGATTGTAGATCAACAACAGACTTTTATTGCTTTATACATGTGGTGCTGTTCAAGGCACTGTGGCACGGGCTAGAAAACTCGGAATGACTCGTGAAGGGACCTGGAATGCGACACGGCCGGTGCCGCGCGCCGCTCCTCGGCAGTGCTGCGGCGGCCGGGGCCGGCGGGCCATGGCCCGGCCCTGGCCCCTCACATACCCATCCGGATGCTCTGGATGATCTGGAAGATGGCTGCAAGAGAGCGGAGAAGGGAGCTCGGGGGGCCCGAACGCTGCCGGGCCCGAGGAGCGCCCCGAACAGTCAGCGGGGCCCGCGGCGGCTCACCTGATCCGCAGACCACGAAGATGAACAGCGCCAGCAGCCAGGGCCCGACCGACGCCTTCTCCTCCGGGGCCGTTCTCTGCGGGCACAGCACCGGTCAGCGCGGCCCCCCCGGCCCCGCCGCCCCCCGCCCGCCCGGCCCGGCCCGGCCCCGCGCACCGAGGTCTTGGCGACGTTGCCGCGCTGGGTGATGTTCTTGCTGTGCTTCTCGTTGGCCATGCGGATGCGCTGCTTGGCCACCATGGCGGCCCCGCTCAGCTCGGCTCAGCTCGACTCGGCTCAACCCGGCCCGGTTCGGCCCAGCTCAGATCAGCTCGGCTCGGCTCAGCCCGGCCCGGTTTGGCCCAATTCAGCTCAGCCCGGCCCGGCTCGTCTCAGCCCGGCCCGGTTCGGCCCAGCTCAGCTCAGCTCAGTCCGGCCCGGTCCAGCTCAGCTCAGTCCGGCCCGGTCCAGCTCGGCTCAGCTCAGCCCAGTTCAGCTCAGCTCAGCTCGGCTCAGCCCGGCCCGGTCCGGCCCGGCCACCGCTGCCGCGTCAGCACCGCGCGCGCCGCACGCCGGGAGCGCGCCGGGGGAGGGGCCGCGCGCGCCAACCCGCGCACGCGCTGCGGCCCCGCCCCGCCTGCGCAACGTGGCGCGCCCTGCGGCCGCCGCGCGCCACTGACCCGGAACCGGAATCGCGCCCCCCCTGCGCCAAGATGGCGCCGCCCACGCCGTTGCTCGCGGGTGCGTCGGGCTGGGGCGGTCCGGGTCCGCCGGTACCCACCTCCCGTCCCCTCCGCAGGGAGCGCTGCCGCGGCGTGGCCGAGCTCGGCCCTGGCGCCCTTGGCGGTGCCGCTCCCGGGGCCGGGCGGGGCTCACCGGGCCGTCTCCGGGGGTGCCACTGCTCATCCCGGCACCCCGCGGGAGCTCCCGGGGCCGCGTGTCCGGGGTTCGCCCTTCGGGCGCGGGGGGGTTCTCGCGCGGTTCCCGGGGGGCGTTCGCGGGGCTCGGTCGGTGCGAGGGCTCTTAAGAGCGCTCTTTCTTCTGAGCATCTCCCTGTTCAGCTGTCCCTGTCAGCAGGGAGATGTACTTTCCTTCCCTGTGTTTCTAAGCCTTGAAAACCGTATATGCCTTCGCGTGGGTCGGGGGGCTGCAGCTGCTGCGGATGGATTTTGAGCTGCTCGGTGCTGTCTGTAATCTGTTGTAAATCTGGATCTCAATGGGTGCCCTGATGGCAGAGCTGGAGAACAGGCTGCAGGCAAGGGTATGCAGCTTGTGGCTTGTATTTAGGGTGTGTTAAAAGGTCCCTTTGGGGTCTGTCAGGGCCTGAACCCCAGGAAATTGCATTCAGACATGAGAAAAACTGCTTTGCTGCGAGGTGGGGGCATGAGCTGCCCAGGGCTCTGGGTCCCCATCCCGGTGGCTGGGCTGGGGGCTCAGGCACACCTCATGTCCTGGATGTCCTTACAGCAAGCAGGGGAACGTCTGTGCCTGTTTTAGGGTTCACAGCTTAGCACAGCTTCTGCTTTGGACAATTTGAAATGAGTTCCTTGTTTCCATTTCAGTGAGAGGGTCCGAAGGGCTGTACATGGTGAACGGGCCCCCCAGTTTCACAGAGAGCTCGGCGTTCCAGAGGTACTGCTGTCACTGGCTCTGATCTTTCGTGCAAAAAAACCAGTTTGGTAAAAAGTAAAGGTAGATTCTGGAATTGGAAAATGTGTAAATATAAGTGAATTATTTCTTACTGTTACTGGTTCAGGAAATGGATGGTTTGGGAGGCTTTGTGCTTGCCTGAGGTGTGACTGCTGGGTGGCAGTCCCTGAACAGGGGCAGCAGGGACTCATCGAGGGCACAGCAGGAAATGTGTTGCTTTTTGGTTTTGTTAAAAAATCTTCACTTGGGCACTACTGACTACTCATGCGCATTTCTTATTTCTTTAGGGACTCTGGAAAAAATTGCAAAGCTGTTGCTTTTAGCAAGGATGGCTCTCTCTTTGCCTGGTGCAATGGAGAAAAGTGGGTGCATTTTATGTTCTTAATCTTTAGTTTGTGTGAAATAAATTGGATCAGTTATGCCCTGTTACTCTTTTCTGTGTAAAGGCAGTTGCTGTTAGTGCAAGTATTTGCATGCACATTTTAAATGCAGTTTATTTTTGCATTCTTCACAGTAGTGGCTTTGTTTCCTGACTCTCAGATGAAATATTTGCTGTTCTCCTGTGTATAATGCACTTATTCCTGTGTAATCTGCATGTGCTTTATTCGTTTGGTTGTTTTTTTGTTCACAGCTCCCAGTACCTGGTTTCTGGGATGAATTAATTAGTAAAGCCCACAGGAGATAAAGACTCTGTGCACCTTATGTACCAACATCACAAGATTCCTTTTTTGTAGACCAGGCGCATTTTTGAGTTCACTCTCTTCTTCGGAGCTTACAGATAAAAATACATGTTCCGTTTTGATCTGTGCTCTCACTTTTTCTGTCATGCCTGGGTATCTGGTTTTAAAATGTGCTCTTGCAAAAATTTAGTAAAAGCAGGAAGGGAAGAAAGCTCTTCTAATTGTGTTACATTGGCTAAATTTGGGACAGACTTAGGAGAGTCAAATACATGCACAGTTCTCTTAGTAATTAATTAACTATTGTAAACATGTTTTATTGAAATAACATCTTTTGGTTCCAGAGTAAACGTTGTTAATGTCACCAGAGCTGAGTTACTGCGTTCCTTTGATCTCCCAAAGGCAGTTTGCCTTGAATTCTCACCAAAGAATAATGTTCTGGCCACGTGGCAGGCCTATGCAAGTGAGTACTGTGGCAGCTGGGCAGGCACCTGCCATATGTGCATGTCTGAAGTGGGCTGGCAGCCTCTCCAGGACCTGACTGCTCTCTGTAGGACATTTATTGGCTCAATGAGCAGTACAGAAAGTGCATGAAGGGTCTGTGGGTGATCAGGGACACGGTGGTGGAGTGAGGGATGCCATGCTACAAACCCTGAGTCAGAGGGCACGTGCTGCAGTTACTGTGAGTGAATCCTGTGTTTCCAAGCACCGGGAGCTGGTCGTGGTGCCGTGTGTGGGCAATGTCTGTGCAGGCAGGTTGTGTTCCTGTGCAGACAGGGCACATCACACGCCTTCCTGCAGGAGTTGTGTCCTCCCCTGGGTGCAGTGCCTGAAGTGTTGTCCCTGTCCAGGGCTTTATTCCCTTCCCTGCCTCTGCAGGGGTTCTTCCTGACTCGGAGAGCCCCAGTCCTGTTTGAGCAGTGTGTCTTACACAGACAGTGCAAATGCTGCCTCAGGAAGAGCTGGGCAAGAGCTGGGCCTTGGGAAGTGGCCTGGGACAGGCTGTAGGATGAGAGAAAGCAACAGAAACTGTGAGCTGTTCAGGGTCTGTCCTGAATCACTGACAGCCATAGGCAGGCTGTGGTATCTGGGGTAAGGAGGAGGGTACAGAGAGTTTAAAAGCAGCAGAACTATTTTGCATGTCTTGCAGAGAAAGCTGTGACTTCCATGGGATGGACAAAATCACGGCACTCCCATGAGAGCAAAATGTAAGAGTGGAGAACATGCCTCCATTGTTTGCCACAAGGATGGTTTTTGATTTTGGTTAAAAAACAAGCATTAAAGAGCTGTGCAGGTGGTGTTGGCCCCAGCCCTGCAGTGGGGAGTAGAAACCCTACACCTTCAAATGTGAGTTCTTGCTGCAGAGGGAAAGACTGAGGTTAATAGGTGCAGCAATCAGCAGCCATGGGTTTGGCCCCTCAGGGGCAGGATGCTGCTTGCTAGAAGTTCCTGTGTGGGTGGGTGTTTGCAGAGCCCTGAGGTGGAGTGTCCTGGTGAAGCAGGTGAGGTGGGGTGTCCTGGTGAAGCAGGTGAGGTGGGGTGTCCTGGTGAAGCAGGTTTAATCCCTAGGTGGGGTGTCCTGGTGAAGCAGGTTTAATCCCCAGAGACCACTGTGTTTTCTTGCAGCTGGGAAGGATGGCACGGCAGGGGTGCCCAACCTGCAGCTCCATGATCTGAAAACTGGAAAATGCTTAAAGTCCTTCATCCAGAAAAAGATGCAGAACTGGTAAATAACCCTTCCAGATGCTAATTGTTTGCAAAGAAATTCAGTTTCCAAAGTCTGATCCAGGTAAATGGAGCTGTTTTTGGGGTGTTGGCTTTCAAGCCAGTGCCTGCTGCTGGCTAAAGGCCAGGCTGGGCTCGTGAGTGTCGGTGTGCAGCTCATTGTTAATTCACCCTCCTTTTGCACCACAGACGAAGCTGGGCAGGCAATAACTAAGTCCACTTGCATATTTTTTGCTATGCAGATGTTATTTGTCCATAATATGAAACATATCATATTAGACCTTGCTGAGCTTTAGAAAGGGAGGGGAAAAACAATCCTGGAGTGCTAAAGATGAGCATGATTTAGTGTTTCTGACTTTTCCTTTGAATTGCAGGTGTCCTTGCTGGGCAGATGATGAAAGCATTTGTGCCAGGAATGTGAACAATGAAGTGCACTTCTTTGAAAACAACAACTTCAGTACGCGAGTATTTCTCTACATTTCATTCATTCTGTAAATGCTGCTGCTTTTGGGGGGTGGTTTTCTTTTTCAAGTTTTTCCTTGTTTCTTCTTTGCTTGCTTTATATTTTAAGTATTGCTTACATTCTATTTTAATTTGGAATTCAGAATCATTATGTTTTACTGAACTGTGTTTTCACTTACTTATCTTTTCACTGGCATATGTGGTATGAAATGCATCTGATTTTCAGTTAAAGAGGCTTGATTCTATATTCTTTCTCATGTAATGAGATCCAGGAAATTGTCAGTAGAGAATGTGATCTGTGATTACTTCTTTGGGTGGTGTGTGTTCTGTCAATAAACTGTTAAAAAATGGCTTGTTAAAAAATTTGTATCAATGGCAAATATGAAGTAGCGAAGCCTGAAAATTTTTACCAAGGAGATTTAATACTGGTGGTAGAATATTTGGAGTCAATAGAAGTCAGAAAGGGAACAGGGAGGAAAAAAGTAGGTGGTTAAAAATTAATTAGAACAAAGCCGTAAAGGAATTAAAGAAAACTGAGGGGAGAACAGTGTGTGGTTTTGGTTTTGTGTTCTTTGTTTTAAGTGTAAAGCTGATACAAGAATTAGAGCTGTAAGAGATAGGGTTTCCCGAGAATTAGCCCTGCTGATGTTAATGAAGCTGTGGGAAGCAGGGAATGTCAGTCTCAGCAGGAGATCTGCTGGCAGTGCACATTCCTGGCTGCAGTGAGGGTCTGGGGTGCTGCTGTTCCCAGCAGCTGTTTGTGGAAAGAATTCAGCCAAGAACAGGCCTCTGAGTGCTTCCTGTGGGGAAGGTGTGAGGGGAGAGCCCCTGTCTCTGTAATGGTACCTGTTCCCTGGATGTGGGTGAAGCCAGCACAGATAAGGTGAAGAACATCTGCTTTAAGCACAAGTGTTCACTTGGGATTTGCAGGCTTCCTGTGCTGTTTGAACTTCCAAATACTAAATACTGGGCTTCAGACCTAGGCTTGGTTCAAGTTGGTTTTGTAAATAAAACTGTGATGAAATGGAAAGTAATGGCTGTTTGCTAGTAAAAGA